CGGGCCGCGGGAGCCGCCCGGGGCCGGCCCAGGGAGGCGGGGCCCGCCGGCAGGGGGTTCCATGCGCCGTCGTCGCAACGCGGAAGCCTGCCACGCGGGTAGGAAGGTCGAAGGGCGGGAAGACGAGAGTTGGAAAGCTGGCCTCGGTGGCGCCCTCGGCCCCCATCGGCGCCTCGAGGGGGCCCGCGCGCGGGCCGCGGCCCGGAGGGTGTTTACCTTCCCCCTGGTCGAGCGCCAATGCCGCCATATTTCAGCCAGCACGCGTCACTTCCGGCGCCGGGGGAGCGGGAGCGGGTGTGGGAGCGGGGTGGGGGCAGGGCTGTCCCACGCCCGCGGGGCCCCACGTTCAGGCTGGCCACGCCGGCGGGCCCCGCCGAGGGAATAATGCGGCCGGGCGCTGCACTGCGGGCCCGGCCCAACGCGGTTTCCCTCGTGCCGTCGCCGTCGGGGCTGGGAACGCTCGGTGGTGCTTGTCTCCCCGCAGCGGTCCCGCTTAGTCTGCACGAGCGGTGGGCTCAAGCTACCGCGATGCGCCCACCCTCGACAAGTTGAGGATTGGGACGCCCCGAAAATGTCTTTTTGCATCTTGAACGCCACGGTGGGGGTGGGGGAATCTGCGACGACGGGGAGGAAGCCTTGCCATAGCTACCTGTTATAAAATTGACTGCATCTGCGCCAAATGACATCATTTTTGTAAGGCAATTTGCAGGGGATTATTGCGTCATAGTTCCACTTGGCTTATTACACAACAATTACACGTTTCGGAAATGCATTTCCCAGAGGTGGGAAAATTCATAGAAAACGGCGTGTGTGCACCACACAGAAATGTCGGATCTAAAAACGCTGTTCTATTTGCGTCAAAATAAGATGGCAAGGACGAACATTCAGAGAGCAGTGATTTTGGGGGTGGTTATTCTTTTTAAGTAAACCAGCTGTAGAATTCTAGCAAATGCTTTTAAAATATCGCCTTTTTTTGATTTAAGAATATTAAAACTACTGTAGGACGGTTCTGTAAATTTGTTATTGTGAAATCTCTTTGTGAGAAAAATGTAAATGACAGAAATACACAGCTGGAGGCCAGTGGTTCTACAACTAACCTTAAATTAAGCCATCCATCGCTCATTTCTAATCCTAAACTGAGGAATTTCTCCTACCCCAACCCCCACCCCACCCCCCGCCGCCATTTTCTGTCTAGACCAATATCCCGATGAATTTACAGTGAGGTGTGTGGCTAAAAGCGATCATTATCTCTTTCTAGCAAACTTGAACATGTCGTGTTTCCCAGGAGGCGAAGATAGCACACGGTGTACTGTTTTGCTGAAGTAGACTAGTTCGTGGGAAAAAATAGAGAATCACCTCAATCCTTTGGAAACAGGGAAATAAGCTTACCTTTTCTGACTTAAACTATAAAACGAGCTTTAAAAAACTATAAGCCCTAAAATATGGCATACATCCAACTTTAAACATTTGAGTTTTCATACATTATTCTTGAACATTTAAAAGTGCTGAATTTTGATTTTTGTATATTAGCCAACATACATTTTGAGGTATACATTACATAGTGTAGCATTGACCTGTCGACTTAGGTTCTTGATTCAAGCAGGAACCGAAATGTGTCTTGTGTTCTGTGTAGCTGGTATGTATACCTACAGTGAGTGATGTCCTAAACCACTGTGATTAGTACACCCTTATTACGACATTACCTGGCCTCATATCTGGCATTTTGTTATGTCCAAAAGGTTCTTTTTTTTAAAATACTGTTTCTGAAACTGGGCTGTGTCTTTTCACCAATCTGTATATTTACTATGTAGAGTCCATTCCGTGGGGGGGTGGGGGGTGGGGGGAGTTCTATTTAATCAATGATACCTCTTTCACTCTCATTTTTTTAAAGTGTTTTATAGAAGGGTCTAGTACAGTAAGGAGCATTCTGTTTCTCTGAGACCAAGCAAAGTAAAACCAGGTCATTTAAATAAACTAATTCCTCCAGGTAATTCCTGTATTCAATTACTTTTCCCACCAATTACTGGAAAGTAATGGGAGCTCCCAAATACCTTGAGGACATCCTTTCACACTGGTAGAGTCCCACAGGGCAAATGGAAGCTGTCTTTTCCTAGCCCTCTAACTTAAGTGTTTGAGAATACTCCTCAAATCGGCTTCCGCAGTCTGAAATGTCCCAAGGCATGCTAGAAGCTTGGGTCTAAGAATGGTGGTAGAGTTGGAAGGAAGTTCCTACCTGGAGGTTCTGAGGATTTAGGACACTGTATAATCATACCCTGCCCACTTTTTTTTTTTTTTTTTTTTTAAGAAGTCAAGGCTTTTTAGAAACCCACAGTCTGCTGTAAGTTAATTGTCTTGGTAATCACTTTGCATGTAAGTGGCTCCCACCTTAATCTCTGGGAATCAAAGAGTTTTATCTTCAGTGAACTCTGATAAGGTTACATATGCACCTCTTCCCTCTTGAACACTGTTTTGACAGATGCTCTGTATCTGTTCAGGGGTTTTAAGGTATCTTGTTGAGGTCCAGTCCATTTCAGTCCCTCAGGGCCCACCAGCATCCCCCCCACAATCAGTACCAACTTCTGCCAGTACACACCAAGACCTGTACACTGGCACATTCCAACAGGATGGTGGCTGTTGTCCTAAACATTATTTTTTGGTCCATATACCACATGGAACCTTCAAAATGCAATCTGAGGGGCTCCTGGCTGGCTCAGTTGGAGAAGCATGCAACTCCTGATCTGAGGATCATGAGTTTGAGCCCCATGTTGGGTGTAGAGATTACTAAAAAAAAAAATAAACTTTTTAAAAAAGTGCAATCTGAGAGTCCCCAAATTTTCCAGCCTTTAAAGTTTGTTGTTTTTACAGCCCAATAGAATAACTTGAGCCTTGGAGCGCCTGGGTAGCTCAGTCAGTTAAGCATCCGCCTTCCGCTCAGGTCATGACTCCAGGGTCCTGGGATCGAGCCCCGCATCGAGCCCTGCATCAAGCCCTGCATCGGGCTCCCTGCTCTGCAGGGAGCATGCTTCTCCCTCTTCCTCTGCTGCTCCCCTTGCTTGTGCGCTCACGCTCTCTTTCTCTCTGTCAAATAAGTAAATAAAATCTTTTTTTTAAAAGTAACTTGAACCTTTATGTTGCATGACTAACAGGAAATGCGTGTCTTCATGAATGTTGGAGGATTCCTGGCTAATGCCTACACACCTTGGTTGTTCTTGGTCTCCTGTCACTTGGAATGGCTCCTTGTAGCTTCTCTCCTATTATCTCTAGCCTTCTGGTCTGTCACCACCTCTCCACGTTTCTCCCACTCTTCCCGTGTACTTCCCAACTCACAAACTTGACTCTCCCTCCAGTTTTCTAGCAAAGCAAACCCTAAGGCCATCACAAGGAAACTTTAATCTCTTTAAACAGGACATGGCTTCTAGAGATCCCTGGACAGAGATGTCTTCTCTGGTCATCTCTAAGTCAGATCTGTGGCCATTAGGTGGGAACCCTTTCCTAAGCATAGTAAAGGGTTTGTCCCATCTCTCTTCCCCGATCTCATGAGCCTTTAAACCCACCCCCTGGGCCCAGGTAGGAAAGTACCAGGTCCCTAAACATCCAAAAGGAATGTGGACACACACACAGAAAGCCATCAAAGGGTACTCCCCCTCCATGAGACAGAGTGTATTTGAAGTATTTACATTTGTTTTAGTTCATCAATGTGGGGAGTTACCTCAATGAAAATGAATTAATAACTTATCTCTGTATGGCCAAGAGGACTCAACAATGTGATTCTTTCTGGAACCAAATGCTTCTTCATATTTCACTTCCATCCATAAAGCCCTAGCAAGCAATTCTCTGCTGGCAGTTGTGAGAATAACCACTTTGTGCTTGCAGCCAGCATCTAACAAGGGTTTAGAAACATTCAGGTTTGGTCTCGGAGTCCCCAACACATTGTGACAGGTTTAGACAACATGGGGTGCCATGTGAGCGAGCACAAAGGTAGGGGGATGTAATCCAGGCTTGAGACGGTCAAGCAAGGCTTCTCAGAGGCAGTAATTTCTAAATGCAGTCCAAAGGGAAGAAGTACAGGGGAAAGGGAAGAGAGTAAAGGACCTCCTGCAGCGCAGTCTGTTCCAGGCTGAGGAGAGGCAGCAGGGCAGCTTTATTTAGAGAACCGCTGATAATTTAGTAGGATTACAGTGTAGGACAGAAGAAGGGGAGAGGGAAAAGAAGAAAAACCACGAAGGCTGCTGAATATAGACTGAGGCAGTGAAGGCTTCAGCCCTCCTGTGTGGCCTCTCATGCCATGCTCGCTCTTTCTTTCCCTCTTTCTTTTTCTTTCTTTCCCTCTTTCTCTTTCTTTCTTTAGGATTTTATTTATTTATTTGACACGGAGAGAGAGAGAGCACAAATAGAGCGGCAGGCAGAGGGAGAGGGAGAAGCAGGCTCTTTGCTGAGCAGAGAGCCCGATGCGGGGCTTGATTCCAGGACCTTGGGATCATGCCCGGAGCTGAAGGCAGATGCTTAACCGACTGAGCCACCCAGGCGCCCCACGCCATGCTCCTTCAACTGTAGCATGCTATTATACTAATGAACATACTAAATGATCTTGCATTTTTACTCCTATATAATTCCATAAATTGTTCATTTACTATAGTAATCTACTAGTAATCTAATCTATACTAATCTATGCTAATTTATTTGTTCATTCCATCAGTATTTATGAGTGCCTACTCTGCGCCAAGTCCTGTACTAAGCACTGGGGATCTGTCAGTGACCAAAACATGACAATCCTTGCCATCTCAAAGATTAAATAAATGAGGTAATAAATAAGCAAATTATGTGGCCTATTAGAATGTGATGAGTGCTATAGGGAAAAACAGGATAAGAGATTAGGAGTGTTGAGGAGGAGAGCTGTTCCAGTTTTAACTAGGATGGTCAAGTTGGAGGTTGCACTTGACTTAAAGGAGGTGAAGGACCAGACTGTGTAAAGCTTTGTAGACCACTGTAAGGGCTTTGGCTATTGAGAAATTGGGAACCATTGGAAGCTCTTGAGAAGAGGAGCAATATAATTCACACTAAGGCTGCTGTGTAAATAATAAGAGTTTAGGGGCGCCTG